GCGGGGATCGTCGGCATGCAACCTACACGGGGTGACACCGGACCCGCTCCACGAAAAGGTAAGTTGTAAAGTAAGCCGACGATCCCCGCAGGATGGATCGGATCTGCGGATTGGGGAGCATAATGGATCGAACTCCGATCCATTATGCTCAATCCGCAGATCTGAATCATGTTAACGATCCCCGCAGGATGGTTCGGATCTGCGGAGTCTGCAGGATATATATTGCAATTTAGCTTTTCGTGGAGCGGGTCCGGTGTCACCCCGTGCGGTAGGTGTCACCCGGTGCAGCGCGCACCCCCCGCACCTGCCTCGAGACGCCACTGCAACCAACCTACCTTTGGTACGGTGGTACGGGCCTGCTGGCTGAAGTATGGCTGAGACTGAAGGAGGTGAGGGAGGAGGGATCATCCTCCAGCTCTGGCATAGATCCTCTGCCACACTAGGAGATGATGGAATTGGATGGTGCAGCTCTACAATTGACCCAGAGCAGTTTTTGTGTGTGTGTTTTTTTTTTTTTTTTTTTTTCAGTTGTGGTTTTTTTTTATTGTTATTTTAGGCCTGAAGATTATTTAAAACCTCCCAAAACATTTTATGTTTTCTGAAGGAAGACACCCTGGAGAATAAAATGGTCATAGTTCCAGAATTTTTTTCTCGCTCAGTATTAGTACAACAATTTATCGAGTGCAAATTTGAAATGCTACTATATATATATATATATACACACACACACTGCATGTTGAAATGCGTTTTTATTACAAAATATATGAAAAATATTTTTCAAATTACATTTCAAATATACTGTACGTCTTTAAAAATACAAATCTACATTTTTGGAATGCATTTACAAATATATGTAAAAATATATGTTAAAATGACTTTTTTATATGTTAAAGGAAAATCTGAAGAAAATATTTAAAAAATATTTTTTTTTAAATATATATTTTTAAATGTATTCTTCAGATTTTTTTTTTTAACATATATTTGTAAATGCATTCCAAAAATGTAGATTTGTATTTTTAAAGACATACAGTATATTTGAAATGTAATTTGAAAAATATTTTTCCTACTATTTTGTAATAACGCATTTCAACATGCAGTATGTGTCTGTATGTACAGTCAGGTCCACAAATATTGGGACATCGACACAATTCTAACATTTTTGGCTCTATACACCACCACAATGGGTTTGAAATGAAATGAACAAGATGTGCTTTAACTGCAGACTGTCAGCTTTAATTTGAGGGTATTTACATCCAAATCAGGTGAACGGTGTAGGAATTACACAGTTTGCATATGTGCCTCCCACTTGTTAAGGTCCCAAAAGTAATGGGACAATTGGCTTCTCAGCTGTTCCATGGCCAGGTGTGTGTTATTCCCTCATTATCCCAATTACAATGAGCAGATAAAAGGTCCAGAGTTCATTTCAAGTGTGCTATTTGCATTTGGAATCTGTTGCTGTCAACTCTCAAGATGAGATCCAAAGAGCTGTCACTATCAGTGAAGCAAGCAAACATGAGGCTGAAAAAACAAAACAAACCCATCAGAGAGATAGCAAAAACATTGGCGTGGCCAAAACAACTGTTTGGAACATTCCTAAAAAGAAGGAACGCACCGGGTGAGCTCAGCAACACCAAAAGACCCGGAAGACCACGGAAAACAACTGTGGTGGATGAGCGAAGAATTCTTTCCCTGGTGAAGAAAACACCCTTCACAACAGTTGGCCAGATCAAGAACACTCTCCAGGAGGTAGGTGTATGTGCGTCAAAGTCACCAATCAAGAGAAGACTTCACCAGAGTGAATACAGAGGGTTCACCACAAGATGTAAACCATTGGTGAGCCTCAAAAACAGGAAGGCTAGATTAGAGTTTGCCAAACGACATGTAAAAAAGCCTTCACAGTTCTGGAACAACATCCTATGGACAGATGAGACCGACATCAACTTGTACCAGAGTGATGGGAAGAGAAGAGTATGGAGAAGGAACTGCTCATGATCCTAAGCATACCACCTCATCAGTGATCATGGTGGTGGTAGTGTCATGGCTTGGGCATGTATGGCTGCCAATGGAACTGCTTCTCTTGTATTTATTGATGATGTGACTGCTGACAAAAGCAGCCGGATGAATTGTGAAGTGTTTCGGGAATATTATCGGCTCATATTCAGCCAAATGCTTCACAACTCATTGGACGCTTCACAGTGCAGATGGACAATGGCCCACAGCAGACTGCAAAAGCAACCAAAGAGTTTTTTAAGGGAAAGAAGTGGAATGTTCTGCAATGGCCAAGTCAATCACCTGACCTGAATCCGATTGAGCATTTCACTTGCTGAAGACAAAACTGAAGGGAAAATGCCCCAAGAACAAGCAGGAACTGAAGACAGTTGCAGTAGAGGCCTGGCAGAGCATCACCAAGGATGAAACCCAGCGTCTGGTGATGTCTATGCGTTCCAGACTTCAGGCTGTAATTGACTGCAAAGGATTTGCAACCAAGTATTAAGAAGCGAAAGTTTGATTTATGATTATTATTCTGTCCCATTTCTTTTGGTCCCTTAACAAGTGGGAGGCACATATGCAAACTGTTGTAATTCCTACACCGTTCACCTGATTTGGATGTAAATACCCTCACATTAAAGCTGACAGTCTGCAGATAAAGCACATCTTGTTCGTTTCATTTCAAATCTATTGTGGTGGTGTATAGAGCCAAAAATGTTAGAATTGTGTCCATGTCCCAATATTTATGGACCTGACTGTATGTATATATGTGTATGTATGTGTGTGTGTGTGTGTGTATATATATATATATATATATGTGTGTGTGTATATGTATATGTGTATATATATATATATATATATATATATAATGGCCAAAATTGTAGCATTTCAAATATATGGCAATATATTTGGGAAGAATATTTTTAAAATATATTTCACATATATTTTTCTTCCATATGGGATGGAATATCTGGAAATCTTAAAGTGATTGTAAAGGTACATAAAATAAGTAAATAAAATAACAGACATGTTATACAATGGCTTTGCACAGAGCAGCCACGATTCTCCTCTTCTCAGGTCCCCTGCCAGCGCTCCTAGCTCCTCCCCTCCCACTGAGTGCCCCCATAGCAAGCCTCTTGTTCTAGGGCCACTTGTTCCCTCCCAAGCCCCGTCTTGTGTGTGCCCCACTCCCTCCTTACTGGCTGTGATTGACAGCGGTAGCCAATTGCTTCCCCTGCTGCGTCTGAACCAATGAGGAGAGAAATACCTGGGAGAGCCACTGCTCTTATGCACATCGCTGGATCAGGATCGGGCTCAGGTGTTGTGGTGGCTGAGGAGGGGGGGGAGGGGAGGGGGGGGGAATGCTGCACACTGCAGCTTTTTTTAAAAAGCTTTCAGCCTTTGGAACCTCTGTAACTGTGACTAAGCAGTACATTGCAGTGCACTTCCTGAGCCCCATGAATGTATATCTGCAGTGTGAGCTGTAAGGCACTTCTGCCTCCTGTCTGCTAATCCCAGTAGATTTGGGATGAGATTTGGTGATTTCACTACTGTTCTCCTTGATGGAGGCTCTGATATAGAAAGCAAAGCCCTGCCCCTTCCAGGGCGACCACCTCCACAGAGGGACACAAGTCAGAACAAGGCGTGGCAGGTCATTAATGAGGAAAACACCAGCTGCAGGGAGACCCCAGGCAGTATTGGTCCAATATTAGCCCTTGGCACTCTGCCTGCCCTTGGCCTGGGCAGAGCTTTGAAGTAGGTTTTTTTTTTTTTAAATAACTTACAAACATGTTATACTTACCTGCTCCGTGTAATGGGTTTGCACAGAGCAACCCCTATCTTCCTCTTCAGGGTTCCCCTGCTGGCACTCCTGACCCCTCCCCCATTTCCCCATAGCAAGCAGCTTGCTATGGGGCATTGGTTTGCGCTTGCTCCTGAGCCGCCTCTGTGGAGTTCATTTACTAAAGCTGGAGAGTGCAAAATCAGGCTCACTTCTGCATAGAAACCAATCAGCTTCCAGCTTTTATTGTCAAAGTTTAAGTTATAAGCAGATTGGTTTCTATACAGAAGTGAGTCTGGTTTTGCGCACTTCAGCTATAGGAAGTAAATCCCTGTGTGTCCATAAGACAGCTCCGCCCCCCACTCCCTCCTTACTGGCTCTGATTGACAGCAGTGGGAGCCAATGGCTGCTGTTACTGTGTTTCAGCTAACGAGGAGGGAGAGACCTAGGAGGGCTACTTCTCTTGTGCACGGCTCTCGCTGGATCAAGATGGGGCTCAGGTATGTATTGGGGGGGGGGGGGAGCTACATACTGAAGGTTTGTTACGTTCCTGCATAGAGTGCATGGAGGTAAAAAACCTTCAGCCTTTACAACAACTTTGAGGAAGAGACCATCTGCAGGGAGACCACAGGCAGTACTGGTCCAATATTAGCCCTTAGACCTCAGTCTGTTGTTTCGGGCACAGCTTTATATATATATGCACACACTCTCTATATTGCCAAAAGTATTGGGCCGCCGGCCTTTCCACATACAATATTGAGTTGGCCCCGCCCTTTGCAGCTATAACAGCTTCAACTCTTCTGGGAAGGCCGTCCACAAGGTTTAGGAGGGTGTCTATGGGAAGGTTGGACCATTCTTCCAGAAGCACATTTGTCAGGTCAGGCACTGATGTCGGGGGAGGAGGCCTGGCTCGCAGTTTCCACTCTAATTCATCCCAAAGGTGTTCTATGGGGTTGAAGTCAGGACTCTGTGCAGGACAGTCAAGTTCCTCCACCCCAAACTGGCTCCTCCATGTCTTTATGGACCTTGCTTTGTGCACTGGTGCGCAGTCATGTTGGAGCAGGAAGGGGCCATCCCCAAACTCTTCCCACAAAGTTGGGAGCATGAAATTGTCCAAAATGTCTTGGCATGCTGATGCCTTAAGAGTTCCCTTCACTGGAACTAGGGGGCCAAGCCCAACCCCTGAAAAACACCCCCACACCATAATCCCCCCTCCACCAAACGTTACACTTGGCACAATGCAGTCAGGCAAGTACTGTTCTCCTGACACCTGCCAAACCCAGACACGTCCATCGGATTGCCAGACAGAGAGGCGTGATTGGTCACGTCTCCACCGCTCTAGAGTCCAGTGGCGGCGTGCTTTACACCACTGCATCCGACGCTTTGTATTGCACTTGGTGATGGAAGACTTGGATGCAGCTGCTCGGCCATGGAAACCCATTCTATGAAGCTCTCTACGTACTGTTGTTGGGCTAATCTGAAGGCCACACCAAGTTTGGAGGTCTTTAGCTATTGACTCTGCAGACAGTTGGTGACTTCTGCGCACTGTGCGCTTCAGCATGCGCTGACCCCGCTCTGTCATGTGACGTGGCCTACCACTTGGTGGCTGAGTGGCTGTTGTTCCCAGTTGCTTCCACTTTGTTATAATCCCACTAACAGTTGAGTTGGAATATTTAGTGGCCAGGAAATGTCACGGATGGACTTATTGCCCAGGTGACCACCTATCACGGGACCACGCTTGGAGTCACTGAGCTCCTGAGAGCGACCCATTCTTTCACCAATGTTTGTAGAAGCAGTCTGCATGCCTAGGGGCTTGATGGTATACACCTGTGTCCATGGAGGGGATTGGAACACCTGAATCACATGATTGGGAGGGCGGGGCCAATAATCTTGGCAATATAGTGTATATCCTCTATAAACAACATGTTAGGTCTTGTGAACGTATACAAATGACATTGCTCCAGGCAAGCACATGCAGCAGCTGGCAGCGGTTGCACTAGTTCTCCGGGATCCACCTTCTCCCCTCTAGGCATACAAAAACATAGGTTGTGCTCTGCTTTGCTTTTTTGATACCAGATTATTCAGTCAGACGCTCTCCCCGTGTCACGTGACTCCGCCCTTCTAAAGTATTTCGCCCAATGGCCTTAATCATAGGAAGTGGGTGATTCAAGCATGGTAGGGACCTATATACTGAATGCTGCTCTACCTATCACGGGACCACGCTTGGAGTCACGGAGCTCCTGACAGCGACCCATTCTTTCACCAATGTCTGTAGAAGCCGTCTGCATGCCTAGGTGATGGATTGTATACCCCTGTGTCCATGGAGGGGATTGGAACACCTGAATCTAGTGAATTGAAGGGGTTTCCCAATACTTTTGGCAATAGTGTATATATGTATATATGTATGTATGTATATGTATATGTATATATATATATATATATATATATATATATATGTGTGTGTGTATGTGTATATATATATATATATATATATGTGTGTGTATGTGTATATATATATATATATATATATATATATATATATGTGTGTGTATATGTGTGTGTGTGTGTATATGTGTTTATGTATGTGTATGTGTGTGTATATATATATATATGTGTGTGTGTGTATATGTATATGTGTATATGTATATGTGTATATGTGTATGTATATGTGTATATGTGTGTGTGTATATATATATATATATATATATATATATATATATATATATATATATATATATATATATATACACACAAATCTTCCTACGTTCTCTTTAACAAAGTTTTTTTTTTTTTTTTTTTTTCCACAGAAATCAGATGACTCTAGTTCTACCACTGGGGATCCCCCCGCAAGAAACCAACCCGCCTTGCTATAGGTATGATTTCTGCTGTCTGTGACCTGATTGTCATACATATAAAACCATTTTTGCTTTTGCTGTCTGTATCCCTTTCAAAAGATTTAACTTCCTGTCTGGAAAACAAAACCGTAAGTGAGTGGGAATCTCCTCTTAGATGTTATTGGAACAAATGTCCCCATTGGAAGATTTTCCCTCTATTCCTGCTCCAGTGACAATTCAGTGTTTTGAATTTAAAGTCTACCTGAACCCTCACCTTGTAAAAAAATACAAAATTAAATATGTTTAACCACCTCCTGACCTCCAGAAGATTTACCCCCTTCTTGACCATTTTTTGTGATCCAGCACTTGCATAGTGCATAGTTAGTCTGGCTGAAAAAAAGACAAAAGGCAATCCAGTTCAACCATAAAGAAAAAAAAAAGTTATAATCCTACACCCACAGTTGATCCAGAGGAAGGCAAAAAAAACAGCAAAGCACGATCCAATTTGCTCCTGCAGGGGAAAAAAAATTTCTTCCTGATCCCCCGAGAGGCAATCGGATATTCCCTGGATCAACTGGAGTAACTGCATTACTTGAAAATTGTGCAGTCATGCAACACTGTACACAAATAAAATTTGACATTTTTTCCCCCCACAAATAAAGCTTTCTTTTGGTGGCATTTGAGCCCCACTGCGTTTATTTTTTTTTTTTGCACTGTAAACAAAAAAGTGAGACAATTTTGAAAACAATTCCCCAATATGTTTTAATTTCTGCTATAAAACCTATCTAATAAAAAAAATCAAATATTTTCATAAATTTAGGCCAGTATGTATTCGGCTACATATTTTTGGTAAAAAAAAATCTCAATAATTGTATATTGATTGGTTTGCGCAAAAATTGTAGCGTCTACAAATGATGGGTTATATACTAGAATATTTTTTTTTTTTTTATACTAGTGATTGCAGTGACTTGTAGCGGGCCTGCGATATTGTGGTGGACAATCTGACACTAAACCAGGGGTGGGCAAACTTTTTGACTTGAGGGCCGCAATGGGTTCATATATTGGACCCGGGGGCCGGACCAAGAGTAGATGAATGATGTGTATGTGTCATCCATAGTAAGTATAGTAATATTCCCCCATAGTAAGCATAGTAATTAATCCCCCATATAGTAATTCATCCCCCATAGTAATTCATCCCCCATATAGTAATTCATCCCCCATAGTAATTCATCCCCCATATAGTAATTTATCCCCCATATAGTAATTCATCCCCCATAGCAATTCATCCCCCATATAGTAATTCATCCCCCATATAGTAATTCATCCCCCATAGTAATTCATCCCCCATAGTAATTTATCCCCATATAGTAATTCATCCCCCATAGTAATTCATCCCCCCTATAGTAATTCATCCCCCCTATAGTAATTCATCCCCCATAGTAATTCATCCCGCTTAGTAATTCATCCCCGCATAGTAATTCATCCCCGCATAGTAATTCATCCCCGCATAGTAATTCATCCCCCATATAGTAATTCATCCCCCATATAGTAATTCATCCCCCATATAGTAATTCATACCCCATATAGTAATTCATCCCCCATATAGTAATTCATTCCCCATAGTAATTCATCCCCCATATTAAGTCCCCAAGTCCCCCCTGTGTCAATTCACTTACCTTTGCTCCGCGCTTTCCTCTCGCCGTGTTCCCGCGCCGTTCCGGTGTAGCATGAAAATCTGTCTCCTATGAGGATCTGTCCCCCTCGACGTATCTGCGCATGTGCCAGTTTCAGGCATTAGCAGCCGATCGGCGATCTCCGGCACATGCGCAGATACGTCGAGGGGGACAGATCCTCATAGGAGACAGATTTTCATGCTACACCGGTCTTCAGGGCGGACTGTGAGAGGAGCCTAGCTCCCCTCACGTTCGTCACGCTGCCCCGCCTACACACATCCTGACAGCCATCCTGACAGTATCACGCTCCGCGGGCCGGATTAAAGGGTCCGCCGGGCCGTAGTTTGCCCATTGCTGCACTAAACTGACACTTTGTGGGGACCAGTGACAGTAATGCAATGATCAATGCTAAAAGTATACACTGTCACTGTACTAATGACACTGGCTGGGAAGGGGTATCAAAGGGTTAAATGTATCTAGTCAGTGTTTGTGTACGCAGTAAGGTGCTTTTACTAAGGCACGTGATGGATTTTATTCTCTGCTATCAAGGGAAAGAAAATCCATCACATCCCTGTTGACAGGGCAGAATTCTGCTTTGACAGGATGGAACAATAAAATACATAAATATGCAGCGCTAGTAAGTGAACATATGTAGAAAAGATTGGACTAATACAACACACTGGAATATATAAAAGATACTGAGTCCATTATATGGTGAAATGAATAAAGTGTTCCGTGCAAGTATTTAATAAATCCGTACTGGAGGAAAACTGTGAGTCTTGTGATTGTGAAGATAGACAAACATTACACTAACCAGATAGCGCAATTAATACGCATGGAGCATGTAAGACCTGCTCCTGGTACTCTGGATGTGTAATACCACAAGGATAGGTGTCATCAGCGTATAGGCCACTAGGTGTCATCCATCCAGGTATACCCTCCAGTCTCCGAATATGCCAGTCACAGCCACTAGGGGAAGCACCAATCCAAGCCACAGATAAACCTTCAAAAAACAGGCTCCCAAAGGAATGAAGAGACCAGAGAAAGCCTCCAAATGGTGTAGTAGGTCTTTATTTCCAAAAGATGTCAGCATAAGCAGGTTAAAAAAGAACTTGCATCTGAATCCAATATGGCCGCCAGCCGTCTATCAAGGTGGCCCTGCGGTATATGCACAGTAGTTAGGGGCACCTCCCTAACGCGTTTCGTGTCCTTACACTTCCTCAGAGTACACATCCAGAGTACCAGGAGCAGGTCTTATATGCTCCATGCGCATTAATTGCGCTATCTGGTTAGTGTAATGTTTGTCTATCTTCACAATCACAAGAGTCACAGTTTTCCTCCAGTACGGATTTATTAAATACTTGCACAGAACACTTTATTCATTTCACCATATAATGGACTTCGTATCTTATATATAATCCAGTGTGTTGTATTAGTCTAATCTTTTTCTACATATGTTCACTTACTAGCGCTGCATATTTATTTATTTTATGATTCTTTTATTGGGTTCTTGAGGTTACCTCTGTCCTCTGGTCTCCTTGATGATCGGAGGGTGCCGGCGGACATCCATTGGCCGGCACCCGCTGATCAGCTATTACTGTGACAAATCACAGCAGTAGCAGTACGCCAGCTGCATGTGGAAGTGCAAATTATCATATATACAGGTGAAACTCGAAAAATTAGAATATTGTGCAAAAGTTCATTTATTTCAGTGCAGCAACTTAAAAGGTGAAACTAATATATGAGACTCATTACATGCAAAGCAAGATAGTTCAAGCCGTGATTTGTCATCATTGTGATGATTATGGCTTACAGCTCATGAAAACCCCAAATCCACAATCTCAGAAAATGGGAATATTCCATGCAATCAATAAGACAAGGATTGTACATAGAACAATATCGGACCTCTGAAAAGTAGAAGCATGTATATGTACTCAGTACTTGGTTTGGGCCCCTTTTGCAGCAATTACTGCCTCAATGTGGCGTGGCATAGAAGCTATCAGCCTGTGGCACTGCTGAGGTGTTATGGAAGACCAGGATGCTTCAATAGCGGCCTTCAGCTCTTCTGCATTGTTCGGTCTCATGTCTCTCATCTTTCTCTTGGCAATGCCCCATAGATTCTCTATGGGGTTCAGGTCAGGCGAGTTTGGTGGCCAATCAAGCACAGTAATCCCACGGTCATTGAACCAGGTTTTGGTGCTTTTGGCAGTGTGGGAGGTGCCAAGTCCTGCTGGAAAATGAAGTCAGCATCCCCATAAAGCTCGTCTGCGGAAGGAAGCATGAAGTGCTCCAAAATCTCCTGGTAGATGGCTGCGTTGACCCTGGACGTAATGAAGCACAGTGGACCAACACCAGCAGATGACATGGCTCCCCAAATCAACACACAGACTGTGGAAACTTCACACTGGACTTCAAGCATCTTGCAGTGTGTGCCTCTCCATTCTTCCTCCATACTCGGGGTCCTTGGGCCTCTCCATTCTTCCTCCATACTCGGGGTCCTTGTGCCTCTCCATTCTTCCTCCATACTCGGGGTCCTTGTGCCTCTCCATTCTTCCTCCATACTCGGGGTCCTTGGGCCTCTCCATTCTTCCTCCATACTCGGGGTCCTTGGGCCTCTCCATTCTTCCTCCATACTCGGGGTCCTTGGGCCTCTCCATTCTTCCTCCATACTCGGGGTCCTTGGGCCTCTCCATTCTTCCTCCATACTCGGGATCCTTGTGCCTCTTCATTCTTCCTCCATACTCGGGGTCCTTGGGCCTCTCCATTCTTCCTCCATACTCTGGGTCCTTGGGCCTCTCCATTCTTCCTCCATATTAGGGGTCCTTGGGCCTCTCCATTCTTCCTCCATATTAGGGGTCCTTGTGCCTCTCCATTCTTCCTCCATACTCGGGGTCCTTGGTTTCCAAATGAGATGCAAAAGTTGCTCTCATCAGAAAAGAGGACTTTGGACCACTGAGCAACAGACCAGGTTTGTTTTTCTTTAGCCCAGGTAAGACGTTGACGTTGTTTGTTGTTCGGGAGCGGCTTGACAAGAGGAATACGACATTTGAAGCCCATGTCCAGGATCCGTCTGTGTGTTGTGGCTCTTGATGCACTGACTCCAGCCTCAGTCCACTCCTTGTAAAAGTCCCCAACACTTTTGAATGGCCTTTTCCTGACAATTCTCTCCAGGCTGCGGTCATCCCTGCTGCTTGTGCACCTTTTTCTTCCACACTTTTCCCTTCCACATACCTTTCTATTAATGTGCTTTGATACAGCACTTTGGGAACATCCAACTTCTTTTGCAATTACCTTTTGAGTCTTTCCCTCCTTATGGAGGGTGTCAATGATGGTGTCAGGTCAGCAGTCTTTCCCATGATTGTGATTCCTACTGAACCAGACTGAGAGACCATTTAAAGGCTCAGGAACCCTTTGCAGGTGTTATGGCTGAATTATCTGATTAGAGTGGGACACTTTTGAGCCGAGAATATTCCACCTTTTCACAATATTCTCATTTTCTGAGATTGTGGATTTGGGGTTTTCATGAGCTGTAAGCCATAATCATCACAATGATGACAAATCACGGCTTGAACTATCTTGCTTTGCATGTAATGAGTCTCATATATTAGTTTCACCTTTTAAGTTGCTGCAGTGAAATAAATGAACGTTTGCACCATATTCTCATTTTTCGAGTTTCACCTGTATACAGTGAAGGAAATGCGTATTTGCTCCCCTGCTAATTTTGAATGTTCGCCCCTCACAAAGAAATGATCCGTCTACAAATCAAATGTTCGGTGTATTGTAACACTGAGAGACAGAATACAACAACAAATTCAGCAGAAATGCGTCTAACAAATGATGACTGATCTGCATGTTCATGAGGGAAATAAGTATTTGATCCCCTATCATTCAGCAGGATTTCTGGCTCCCAGGTGTCTTTCATACAGGTAACAAGCTGAGATTAGAAGAAGTCTCTTAAATGGAGTGCTGCTAATCTCATTGTGTTACCTGTATAAAAGACACCTGTCCACAGGAGCAATCAAACCATCAGATTCCAAACTCTCCACCATGGCAAAGACCAAAGAGCTGTCCAAGGATGTCAGGGACAAGATTGTAGACCTACACAAGGCTGGACTGGACTACCAAACTATGGCCAAGCAGCTTGGTGAGAAGGTGACAACAGTTGGTGCAATCATTCACAAATGGAAGAAACACAAAACAAGTGTCAGTCTCCCTAGGTCTGGTGCACCATGCAAGAGCTTTCCAGCGAATGGCTGTGCGGGGAGGTCCTGATCATTAGAGTAGAGCAGGCTGATTTCCCAGCACAGCTAGAGAACTGACCATGCTGTGCTGGTTGGTTTTTATTAGGAAAGCAGGGGGACTGGCAGGAACACCGGGGATGTCACACAAAGGAAGCAATACAAAGAGAACAAGAGACCTTTTCATACAAGTACATGGTACAGCCGGCACATCTCAGGAATAGGAATTGTTGGGTTTACTTATTCTTTAAATCCAGTGACAGTGGTCACCGGGAGGAATAGAAGGTGAATCTCACTAATGCCTCTGATACACAGCGATAAAAACCTGGTGCTGAACTTCAATACCCCTCCCAAAACGAAAAAATAAAACCTTTTTGCTTTAGATACATCTTAACATGGAGCTACAGCCTAATATCTGTAAAAAAAAAAAAAAGAAGGAACACACACACACACACACACACTTAACCCCTCGCCTACCGGGCACTTCTACCCTCTTCCTGCCTACAGGGCACTTCTACCCTCTTCCTGCCTACAGGGCACTTCTACCCTCTTCCTGCCTACAGGGCACTTCTACCCCCTTCCTGCCTACAGGGCACTTCTACCCCCTTCCTGCCTGCCGGGCACTTCTACCCCCTTCCTGCCTACAGGGCACTTCTACCCCCTTCCTGCCTACAGGGCACTTCTACCCCCTTCCTGCCTACAGGGCACTTCTACCCCCTTCCTGCCCAGGCTAATTTCCAGCTTTCAGCACTGTTTCACTTTGACAATTGTGCGGTCATGCAACACTGTACCCATATGAAATTTTTATCATTTTTTTGTGACCGAGCTTTATTTTGGTGGTATTTAATCAACTCTGGGTTTTTTATTTTTTCTTAAACCAAAAACCACTGAAAATTTAAAAAAAAAAAAAAAAATTTTTTTCTTAGTTTTTGTTATAAAATTTTGTAAATAAGTTATTTTTCTCCTTCACTGATGTGCGCTAATGAGGCTGCAGTGATGGGCACTGATGAGGAGGCACTGGTAGGCGGCACTGATGGGCATTGACAGGCATCACTGATGGGCACTGAAAGGCAGCACTGATATATGGCACTGTTAGGCGGCACTGGCTGGCACTGACTGGCGGCTGGCGGCATTGACTGGTGGCACTGATAGGTGGCACTGACTGGCGGCACTGATGGGTGACACTGAAAGGCAGCTCAGATGGGCACTGATATGTGGCATTGATGTGCACTGGCAGGCACTGATGTGGCATTGATGTGCACTGATATGTGGCATTGATATGTGGCACTGATGGACACTGACAGGTGGCACTGCTGGGGCTATACTGATCATCAGGGCACACTGATCATCAGTGCCCTGGTGATCAGTGTACATGTCCCCCCAGAGGAATGCTGATTACCGGCTCTCCTCTGTCAGCGTGACAGCTCGAGAGGAGAGAAATGCAGATACCCGGCATTTCCCTGTTTACATGCGATCAGC